CAATTATTCTGTTTGATTGAAACAGGAAAAATTTAATAAATACCAATACCTGGTTATTTATGACGGGATAGAGTTCGCTCGGTCAGCTATACATATATTACATTATATAGTATGTTATTAATGATGATACTAACTAGACTGATATATAAAGAATTGTTTTATTTGAATAATAAACCTTCAGAGTGATATGAAGTGTAATTTATTTGTGGATATTTTAAGATTAATATAAAATATTATATTTTTATTTTCAAACAATTCTTGATGTAATTGTCTCTGTATGTCTTTATATATGGACAATATTGTTTGTGAACAGTATTAATATATTGTATTATGTATTACAGATGGTGTTATTGGACTGTACTTGAGATTCGTCCATCAGGAGATGACGGCTGATCATCAAGTGTTAGATGAAAACTAACAATGAACACAGCCGGCCTAGCAGCACATCTCCAGCTTGTCTGCTACTTAGTTATTTTATATTGAATTTAGACTTGTCAAACAATATCTTTAACAGTTACTGTACAACTTTTATATATAATTTCTTTTCGATCATAATATTTTATTTAATCCAATCTACTTGATATACTTCTCTGATACGATGCAATTACTTTATTGTTATTTATAATCTGATAAAACATTGCTCATCTTAAATGTTTTATTTCTGTATGTACTAATTATGCTTATCATACCTTTTTCTCTAGAATGATTAGTTTTTAAAAGAATAGTATCTGTTATGCCAGTAGAGGGGGCTAAAAGTTTTTGTTATAATAGATTTACCTTGAGTTGTTTTCATTAATAATATTTATATAAACCGCATTTATCGTAAAGAAAATTATTATTGTTGAATTGAAATGAATTATAGTTATTGTGGATGTATTGTATTGTCTTTGATTTTTATTAAGCAGTAATACTTGTACTTGTTAAGCTTATATATATGAAGATAATAACACTTTGGGACTCCATATATACATCCTTCAAATGAGTTTGTTATAAACACAAAACATAATATAACATGAGTAAATATAATCTTCAAATTCAAAGTCTTAAGCTATCAATTAAATACTAAAGTGTGTGTACATGATGTGACTCATATGATGTATTATTGTGTGACTTATCTTTCATACTATTAATATTTGTATACATACAAACGTAGAAAATGTCGGATTGCTTAGAAAATTTATTAAAGGTATTTTATTTAATACATTATTATGGTTGTAGAACTGAAACATGTAAATAACAAGAATAGTGTTACAAGTCGCGTCATCTGTGCCATTCTAATTGTATTATACTATAATTCTTAGAATCTATTTTGACTGATTATAAATAATAATAAATTAATGTATGTACCTGTAGATATTGCCGTGATGAAATTGTTCAAACCTGATACTTAATTTATGTTAGGTATATAGCAGTTATATACATAAATATTTGTTATATATTGTAAGCAATATTTGTAATTATTTATTATTAACTATAAAAGCCCCTTAATTTAATTTGATGATGACAAGGTTTGAGTATCAGCTTTGTACATATTTGTGATATAAATACTGGCTTCAGCCATTTTGTACGACATTACTAGAAGTAACAATGAACATTAAAAATCAAGACTGAAACTGTATTTTTATTGTAAGCAATATTTGTAATTATTTATTATTAACAATAAAAGCAAAGTAACTAAGAAATATATTTTTTATTGTTTCCTCAACTATACAGTAACGTTTAACACACAAAATTCTCAACAATAACGTGATGTTAAAAATTGTGAGAGATCGATTAAAATATTTCAGAAAATAAACCTCAATATAACGAAATAAAGTCTATTATTTATTAAAATAGTTTAAAGACTTTCTATTTTATATATCTCACAATAGAATAAAATATTTTTTAAAAGCCAACTTTATTTCGTATAACGCAAGGCATATTTTCCAATGACATTTTCACCGATTCGTCTGTCTCCCGCAGTTGGTCTGATAGCACTCCTCACACACACGCACCGGCTTCAACTGACCAAATCTCGGTAATGGTATTGAATTTGAGCTGCACGAAGCACAGAAGACTTTACCTGTTAGAAACACATGTCGCAATATTAATTATTTTATATTAGTAACTAAAAAAAATATTAAACTCACACACTTACAAAATCAAACACACAAATGTATCTGTTATACACAAATGCACTAAAACAAAGACAGGAACATGCTTATACACACACATTCAAGCACGCGTTCACATACAAACGCACAATTAAATGGACTCCAATGCATGCACTAGTACATCAACTTGCACACACACACACACATATCTATTATGAACATAGTTGCTACTCGGCGCAAATAGACGCCTACTGAACTCGTACACACACACACACACACACACACACACACACACAGAGGGATACTCAGCACAGTTCCTACAGTGACGCCTGCGCCTGAAGGCCGTGAAGTGTGAGGAGCATCTCATACAGGCGGGCGCCGCTGTATCAGGGACCCACTCTGGGGCTCGCTCCACTACTGATGACGAAGACGTTCCATCCCTGATACATACAACATTATATATTAGAAACTAACTCGTATGAAATATTTTCAATGACATTTCCTATTCTACATGATACTTTTATCTTCTTCTTCTACCCGGCAATTTCGCAGCGTTAGCCAGGGTCTGCCTTACATATTGTGAATAGTTTTGGCTAATTGTTTCTACGGCCGGCCGCCTGCCTGACATCACCCCTCTTTTGCATTAATCAGTGATGTCTAAATACTCTTAGAAATACGAAAGAATACTACTTAGAAATACGTGCATATGACTAAGAAAAATCACATTGGTACTTGCCCGGGCCAGGATCGAACCGCGCCCTCATGCATGAGAGGTGGGCCTTTTAACCACTAGGTCACCACTGACTTGATACTATTATTATATACTGTTATATTGTTATACTGTTTATTATTTGATTCCGCCATTTCATATACCTACTATATAAAATAATTAATAAAAATTACGCATTTATGTAAGAAATCATAAAATTTTATCATTTCAGTTTAACTTGACACATATTCAAAACTAAATAAATGACCTTCTCAGATACTTATATCAAATACCTACGCACGTGTCCATTGACCTCCTAGATCAGCTGATTTGAAGCCACTCGACTTTTTTTTGTGGGGGCGAATTAACACAGAGATAACAAGTTTCGAGGAACTAAGAAATAAGATAATAACCGCCTTTGTAAAAGTGAAAAGTGACACTGCAGTATTATCTAAAATAAAACCACAATTGCGAAAACGGTCATTAAAGTGCATTGAACAAGGCGGTGGACATTTTGAAAATGTTTTAAAACGACAACGCTGTGAGAGTGCAAATTAAACTGTTAGTTTTGTTTATGATCTTTAAGTTATTGTAAATATTTTGATTCACACCATTTAAACACGCCGACTTTGTCGTAGGTATTGTGGTGTCTAATCAAATCACGCGTTATCAGCTATTTAATAATTCTTATTTACAAATTTAATTTAACAAATCAGTAATTATAAAATATTGGCTTCACATTAAAGAGAAATGTCACTGTCGACAATCTAAAGCCTGAAAAGTGTGATGGAAAGAAGAATCATAATGTAGTTATTTCGTGTACTTATTATTACCTACTTCTTATTATTGTCGGACGGCACTCGTAGAGAGGGGCGCGGGCGCGGCGAGTACATTGTGTCTGTCTGTGTGTGCGTGTACAGCGGAGTGCTAGTGAATAGCTGACCATATTATAATAATGGATAATCACACTCTACAGGTACAGCTGTTAACTGGCTCATACGACAGATCAACTCGAGCTTTTGAAGAACATATGGTTCCGTGGCAGGGACAATGGTCTCACGATGCGTATTCTGCTTTCTTTTATGGTGAGATATTTGCCTTATTTTACCTGAGATTTTGACTAAAACCCATATTGTGACTTAATCCTATTGGGCTTTTTATTTTAATTTGGTGTTATAACACGAATATCTAAATGTATTGCTGTTAAAGAGGAGGGACATGAGTTACTTGTTATGATGTGAGCGCTTGTCTTGGAGTGAATCAGACACTCTATATTACAGGTTGAGGTCTCTGGGTCTGGGATAACTTTGTCTTGGAGTGCGTTGGTTCGGTTGCCCAGAAGAGACCCTGGGCTCGGGATATTGGGATGCTTTACAACCACTTTGTGAGGGCTATGTTTATTTAACTGAGTGAAATCAAAAATCGAAAACATTTCTGCCGTTATATTTCTCAATTTCAGACGCCGCCAATGAAGGAGATGACTTATCTCATGACTCCAACCTGCCTCCTGGTGTTGACCAGCCTATGGAACACAATGAGCCACAAGCAGGCCCTTCTGGGATAGCAAGACATACAGAACTGAATACTTCTACTACTAACGAAGAGAATTTCATGTCCTCGCTGCCAATAGGGCAGTTGTATTGAATATTATTTTTTCTAAATTCAATTCTGTTCTTGTTTTTAAGAATATGTATATTATACTTACTTTTCAGAGTCCTTTAAGTATTTCCACTGTTAATGTTATTTAATAACTGTTATATATTTATGTACATGATTTTAATTTACAATTGTACATGTTAATTTTTTACACTATTCTTTGTACTTATATTATTTTGTTAAATTTGTTTGAAAGTAGTTTGTAATGTCTTTGTAAAGTATATTTCGTTTCTATTATATTTATCCATTTAACTCAATAATAATTTAACATTTAGGTATGGTAGTTAAATGAAATAATTATGTCTTTATAGGTAAAACTTTATTGAATGATCTTTAAAGTAACATTTGTAACAGAACATATCATACAAAGTTTTTGCGAGTGATAGTGAAATAGCTCCCTGACAAGTTATATACAAACGACAGTAAATGTAACAACTCATTTATTAATATTCTATTTAAATTTAAAGATGCATAATGTTCAATCTTAAACCTAACTTTCAATGTTAACAATAAAATATGGAGGGCCCGGCCACCGGTTCCACCTACCTCCTTAAGTCCGCCTGTAGTGGCGGACGGACCCTCTTCGCCGGAAGGAGGCGGTCCTCCAGGCCAGCGATGCGAGCATTGATCATCTCACCCATGGTGAGAGTCAATGCCCGCTGCAGCTCTCCCAGCATATCGGAGATGCCGAGGGGAGGCTCTGTCGCCGGCGCGGGCTCACGGGCAGGGGACTTCTTCCTTTCAGAAAAGTCCCTCCTGAGGGCCCTGAGTTCGGTCCTCAGGTGCTCGTTCTCGTTCTCGAGACGAGCATTATTTGCCCACAAGCGCCGCAACTCCTCCGAGGCCGTCCGATTGGCGAGCATCTTAACTATGTCGCTCATAGTTTGGGCGGCCTCCTTGATGTCCCTGACATAGGGCCCCTTGAGGTTGTTCGACGTTTTCGCGACGTTAAACAGTCGAACAACGCACTGATCGGCAAGGGACCTGAGTTCCTGCCGGTCCAGGGAGTTTATGGTGGGCCTAGGGCTTGTAGAGGAGCTCCTAGGCATTTTTGTAAGAGGGGCCGGGGCAAGGCTCCTCCTCGGAAGCAGATGTCAAGTCTTTTTTGGCGGCGGGCCTCACGGACGCAGACGAAGGGGTACGTGCGCCCCTACCCCTACGAGCAGCCGGCTTCTTTTTAGCGACAGCGCCCGCGGGGTTCTCTGCGTCCGATTCTCCATACAGGACGGCGCTGGGCCTCTTCATAGGCGTCGCAGTCACCGTCGAGACTGTTGAATGCATGGAGGCATCCGACATCGACCCGTCGTCGTCTCTAGGTCCAAATCCGGGAGTGGGGGTGACCGGCCTGGAGACAGTGTCCGAGTCCCCCCCAGAGTGGCCCTTAGAAGAGCCTTTCTTCGTTTTTAGGAAGCGACCCTTTAAAACGCGAGGAGGTAGGGCAGAAGGAGTCATAGCTCGCTTCTCACCTCCATCAGATCCCTTCCGCAAGTCCGTTAAACATGCCGTATCGTCAGTGTCCGATCTCGTAACAAGTCCTTTCCGTAATGTATCGGAGTCCGTCAAGAGTGCCATGTCGTTTGTACAGTTCGTACCTTCGTCAGATCCAGTCCGTGTCAGCATTTCAGTTCCGTTAGTCGCGCCAAAGTCCGTGCCCACTGCACCTCGTCTCAGAGGGCCCTTAGAGGAAGGACCCTCCAGGCGTTTGCTGCCCCCCCCAGAATACGAGGGGCTGACCGGCGTACCGGTGAGGGATTCCCCAACCACTTGGTGGCTGGGACCCTCCTGGGGTAGATTTTTTCCACAAGACGCCATTCCATAAGTTTTTTGTAGGTGGTGTTCTTAGGACGAGCTCACCCGCTCGCCATGCATCCCAATTGCTTGTTATCCCTCAGTTGATCCTGTCTGTACAAATGTTACAGAAAAGTATCAACATACAATATTTAAATTAGAATAAGAAAACAGTAAAATACTACTTTTTAGGTAGGTACAGTTTCAGTCTTGATTTCTAATGTTCATTGTTACTTCTAATAATGTCGTACAAAATGGCTAAAGCCAGTATTTATATCACAAATACGTACAAGCTGATACTCAAACCTTGTCATCATCAAATTAAATTATAGGGCTTTTATAGTTAATAATAAGTAATTACAAATATTGCTTACAATATATAACAAATATTTATGTATATAACTGCTATATACCTAACATAAATTAAGTATCAGGTTTGAACGATTTCATCACGGCAATATCTACAGGTACATACATTAATTTATTATTATTTATAATCAGTCAAAATAGATTCTAAGAATTATAGTATAATACAATTAGAATGGCACAGATGACGCGACTTGTAATACTATTCTTGTTATTTACATGTTTCAGTTCTACAACCATAATAATGTATTAAATAAAATACCTTTAATAAATTTTCTAAGCAATCCGACATTTTCTACGTTTGTATGTATACAAATATTAATAGTATGAAAGATAAGTCAAAGAATAATACATCATATGAGTCAAATCGTATACACACACATAAGTATTTAATTGATAGCTTAAGACTTTGAATTTGAAGATTATATTTACTCATGTTATATTATGTTTTGTGTTTATAACAAACTCATTTGAAGGATGTATATACGGAGTCCCAAAGTGTTATTATCTTCATATATATAAGCTTAACAAGTACAAGTATTACTGCTTAATAAAAATCAAACACAATACAATACATCCACAATAACTATAATTCATTTCAATTCAACAATAATAATTTTCTTTATGATAAATGCGGTTTATATAAATATTATTAATGAAAACAGTTCAAGGTAAATCTATTATAACAAAAAAACTTTAGCCCCCTCTAGTGGCATAACAGATACTATTCTTTTAAAAACAAATTATTCTAGAGAAAAAGGTATGATAAGCATAAATAGTACATACAGAAATAAAACATTTAAGATGAGCAATGTTTTATGAAATTATAAATAACAATAAAGTAATTGCATCGTATCAGAGAAGTATATGAAGTAGACTGGATTACATAAAATATTATGATCCAAAAGAAATTATATATAAAAGTTGTACAGTAACTGTTAAAGATATTGTTTGACAAGTCTAAATTCAATATAAAATAACTGAGTAGCAGACAAGTTGGAGATGTGCTGCTAGGCCGGTTGTGTTCATTGTTAGTTTTCATCTAACACTTGATGATCAGCCGTCATCTCCTGATGGATGAATCTCAAGTACAGTTCAATAACACCATCTGTAATACATAATACAATATTGTTCTTATATAAAGACATACAAAGACACTTACTTCAATTATTGTCAGTTTAAAATAAATTATTAAATGTTTAAAAAAAAATACAAAAACACTCTTATAAAATAACAAACTAAAAAGTAGCATATTTGTCATTATTATGCATTCAGTAGTATATAAATGAATGATTAACAAAATATAAGTGTTTTTATTTTTTATTAATCATTTATTTATTTTCAACTCATTAATTCTGCTAACTACAGATGGTTTTGTTTTGTAAACCATTATTAATAGCATGATGACTGTTAGTGATTATAATGTTTATCAAATCCCTACTAATATTATAAATACGAAAGTAACTGTCTGTCTATTAAGTCTCACCTAAACCGCTGAACCGTTTGTGATGAATTTTAGTATGGATATGAATGAAGCCCAGGAAAAGGACTTGGGCTTCTTTTTATCCCAATTATCCATTGACACAATACCGACCCCAATCCCAATACTACGCGGGTGGAACCATGAAGTGGAAGCAGTTCAGGTTCAGTAGCCTTAGTGACAGAGAACAACTGTGATACTCACGTCGACGGAGCGGCGGGCAGCAGCTAGTTATTATTATAATTATTTTATTTATTTCTGACAGTAAGTAACAAACATACAAAATAACATACAAGTGATGCTAAGAAAAAAGAGTTAGAAATATTTTTAGCAAACCGGAAAGCTGTAACGTATATAGGGGAGAGTTGGTTATATCGTACTAGCATTTAAATCGTACCACCTCTAAATTTCCTATTTAATGAATATTTTTTTCTACACTGACAACGCCAAATCGTGGCCCTGTACCATCCCTCTTCACCCACTAGTTTAAGTCGACGTGAGTTAACAACTGAGCACGTAATAAAAAAAATCATTTTTTGTAGGAATTAATATAAATATTGTCGTATATTCGTAAGGAGATAACTCGTAATCAAGGTAAGCCATAGTTATTCAGTTTTTTTTTTTATTCCACAATCGTATACTAGATTATTGGGGGTTTTTGTTGCGTGTCTAAGTTTTGAGTTTATGCCGGATATTTGCTTTTGTTTTAGAAATGCCTTAGTTGGTTTAATCGTACCACTTGCAGTTGGTTAAATTGTACTGGTACGATTTACCCGACTACCAACTGCAAGTACCTATAGTACTACCGCAAGTACCTATAGTACTACCGTAAGTATCTATAGTACTACCGCAAGTACCTATAGTACTACCGCAAGTACCTATAGTGAGTACTACCCAAGGCCAAAAACAAAAATTATAAGAGGAAACGATCTCATTCCATCACCAGTAGCGATGATGCAGGAGAGACACCTGTTGTAGAACTAGATGATGATGATGACAGCGATGATTATCTTGAAAATATAAGTCGAAAGTGCAATTGTTCTTACTATGATAAGAAGGGTCCAAAAGTTGATTGGATTCAATGCGTTCGCTGTAAACGGTGGCTACATGAACGTGTACTTCGAATTTTTGAAAACATTTGTCATGATTGTTTCCAGGGCCGTTTTATCCATTAGGCATTATAGGCAACTGCCTAGGGGCCCTGCCACGTTCAGGGGCCCCTGTGCTACAGGGAAAAGAATGGGCAATGTTTCTTAAACAGTAAAAAATTAATTTGAAAATTTGCTCTGTACATTACATCGACGCTATTTTAGTACATTTCGGAACGCATTCTTTATTAGATATTATTATTATGATTATTATTATAGTTTAAAAGTTTATAACGCAGTAATATAATTGCAATCAATTTTAATTTAAAAAATTAATTAAAAACTGTCTTCGCTCAACGACGTCTCAAAACCGTTTAAATTCATTGGCTATAATGGCAATTGAAAATGACGTGTTGGAGAAGATTACCTTTCAGGATATCTTGAACGATTTTGTATCAAAAAAAGTTAGAAGAGTTAATATTTAAGCTATGTATGTTTTTTTTTAAATGCATAAATAAAGATTCTGTTCATTTGATTCAACATTTTTATTAAATAATATGATGATATACCCAGGTTAGTAAAAAACGGTGTAATTTTGAATTTTGTTGTGTTAACGAAAAAATTAGAAGAGGGTAGGGGGCCCTGGATGAGCATTGCCTAGGGGCCCCGACAGGCATAACCCGGCCCTGATTGTTTCCATTAAGAAATATGCACAATAATAATATGACAAATAACATTCTTGTTAACTGTTACTTTATTATTATAGTTTACTGTTTTTTTATTTGTCTCATTTTTATTAGTTATGTTGATTGATCTCATTATCATAGTATAATCATGTTATTTTACTGAGAAAGCTTATAGTTCCTTTTTATAACCTAAGAGTTAAAAATTATGTTTCTATTACCTAAAAGATATAAATAATGTTGTTTTATTACTTACCTAACAGTCAAAAATAAATAATTTGATTGAGAATTTTAATGTCTTTCATTCAGTGGTACGACTTACACACCCATGGTACGATTTAAAGACTTAGTGGTACGATTAAAACGACTAGTCGGCTAAATCGTACCGATTGAAAGCCTCTATAAAAAAGCATTATTAACAATATTAGAATAATCGCAAGGATCTGTTCTCTTCTTCTTAGGAAGCTAAAATATGAAACTTTATTTTACATATGTATAAATTATTATAAGACGTGTTATAGTCGAAATATTTGAGTTAAAGTGAAAAGTGGTACGATATATCCGACTCTCCCCTACATATGTGTTTCAAATAGTCAAGTAGTAATATGAAGATACATAAAATATTTAATACTAGCTTGCCGTCCGCAGCTTCGCCCGCGTGGAGTTCGGTTATATCGCGTTTCCAAGAGAACCTTTCAAAAGTCTGGGATAAAAACTATCCCATGTTCTTTCTCAAGGTCAACTCCATCTGTACCAAATTTCTTTAAAATCAGTTGAGTGGTTTATGCGTGAAAGCGTAACAGACAGACAGACAGAGTTACTTTCGCATTTATAATATTAGTAGGGAAATTAAATTATGTTACATACTACGTCTCCAATCTCCATTAATATATTTTATATAAATAAATGTTTAAAAAAAAGATTTACTATCCTTCATTGAGTTATTCAGTACGAAGCAACGCGTCGGAAGCGTTCAGTCGATGTATGTAATTATTATTATAATTAATAAAAGTATTGAATAAACGAACTCAATATTCACTCTTACCATAAATAATAACAGAATAATATTAAATATTAAACAGTACATACCGTCACACTACTATCGTACATCAGCTACATACACTTCTCTTCATAGAAGGTTTCCTCTCGTCCGCAGACCTAACCTAACAGACGCTCCACCAACAGCTTCGACCCTCATCTTGAATTATATATTCT